AAAAATAATTAACTTCTCCGACGAAAGAAGGAAAACTGAGAGAAAGAGAAAGATAAATAAATAAATGCACGATGCGCGTACTTTGTAGTAAAAAAAAAAAAAAAAAAAAAAAAAAAGAGAAAAATAAACAATAAGAAAAAGACAAAACAAAAATAATTACAAATCGTGCCAAATGATTCATAGAAAAAAAAAGAAACGAGACGCGCTACGTGAAAAACAAATAATTCTCATTATAATTTGTGATATTTGTAATATTTAATTTGTTTCTTTTTTTTTGTAATATAATTATTCCCTCTCCCTCTTTTCTTTAGTTCACGTCGTACACACTTTGTAAAATTGTTCTTACAATTAGTGAACGTTCGTCTTTCATCTTTCTTCGTTTTTTTTCCCTTCTTCTTTCTTTTTCATTTACAAATAATATTTTTTTTTATAACTTTTGCGTACCATATAAAATCCGGTATACAATTAATTGGATCAATTTATTCGATGAACACGTATACGTTTTTTTTGCTTTTCTTTAAAATGTAAAATAAATGAAACTTTGATACCGCAATACAACGATTCGGTAGTTTCTTGTTCGAAGTAGCCGTAAAATCGAGGCATTCGTGGAAAACAAGTAACGTAATAAACTGTGTGGCTTCCTAGGTACGACACATACCCTAGGCTTCTTAAAATATCTTTTTATCTTTTCTTATTTCTTTTTCTTTTTTAACCATCGTGTCAGAATCCTACTGACCGTGATTTTATTAACGTTCTCTCGTTACCATAGACTGGGTTTTAAACGTTTTTACAAATAAATGATGCTTCAAATGAAAATAAAGTACCTATCGTAATATGCGAAATGAAAAATATCTCGTGTGTGTGTGTGTGTGTGTGTATGTTTGTGGGTGTGTGTTATATAGGAATGCTAATTTATATCGTGATACATGTATGTCAAACAAACAAAATAATGCAAACGTAAGTAGATTATTATAATACAATTAACAATAACAATTAACAAACAACAACAACAACTAACAATTTCGCATGAACACGAGAGTAACGTGTTGGAAAAATAAAAAAGAAAAAAAAAAAATAAGAAAACGGCACGATTGATTATGCTTGGATGATAAAAATGAATGAGTTGGATTGAGAGAAAGAAACGTGTGTCGAGGAGGAGGAGGAGGAAGAGGGGGGGGGAGAGAAAGAAATTATTAAATATTGTGGGTAGTAACAAGAATAATTAAAAAAACTACATAAATAGTTGAAAATAATTGTGGGAGGAAAATGTTCGATGTTTCAAATACTTTACATTGCGCAGTTTTGAAAAAATACCATATAATAATATATTATAATTCTATAAGAGAGTAATATGATAAAAATGAAAGAGAAAAAAAAACCATTTGAAGTCGACAGA